CAATCTTGGCGTTAAAATCACCGACGATGACCTTGAAGAAAGTGTGGTCTTCTCTGTAGAGCCTCTCCAGATCCATATAAAACGCTTCCAACTCCTCTTCTTCGTAGCTCGATGTTGGTGCGTAAGCAACGAAGATGGTTAGAGCTGGGATTGAGCCGCATCTTCTCAATCGCAAACGTCCGATTCGGGTTGTTAAGCTTTCGTACGAATCGATGTTCATGGCCAAGTGCGTATTGACGAGGACACCTACGCCGCCGACGCCTCTACTGTCGCATGTTCCAAGGAACAGTTCTTCTCCAGTCTCAAATACAGCGTGCAGCGGGCGATGCCTTCTCGTCTCGGTCAGTCCGATGACGTCGTACTTGATCTTCCTAGCTTGCATCATCAGGTCTTCTATACACGCTTCCGATGCAAGCGTCCGTGCGTTGAAAGTACAGATCGCCATCTTAGTCCTTCTCCTTTTGGGCAGCCTGTTTTGGCCCTGGGATTTTAGCAGCCTCTCCCGAGCGGTCCTACCCAACGCTGCCGTATTGGGGGCTCCCTCAGGTTCAGGGGAATGAGGCCCATTTCTATTACTGTTTTTGGCGTGAAGATACCCAACGTGCAGCTTGCCAGGCTCTGACGTGGGGGCTATTGACTCCGGGGGCTTGCCAGGCTATCCCGAAGTGGACAAGGGGCTTTGTTTTTGGAGGCGGCCCCGAATCGCCTCCCAAATACTTCCCAGTGTGACTTGATCGTCACTCGAATGCAAGCTTTTGGCCGAGTCGATGGGCAGGATACCAACTGCACCCACAGACTCTCCACACACGTATGCGTGGATCGCCAGCGAGGAACAGAGGGTATATCGACCCAGCACAGCAGAATCAAGGAGTCCATCCCCTGAATCCACCTGCGTCTCTGGGCAAGTACCGGTGACTTTTGGTCGGCGATTAATTCCCCTATCCGCCACCTGGGGACGCCCTACGTAGCCTCGTCACTAACCGGCTGGGGATCCTTCAGTGAGAGAGAACCCTCAGTGAAAGGAGATCCGTAGCTCGTAAAATATATGAATGTTGAAAACTGTTTTGAAATAAAAAAATAAATTTAAATAGAAAATTCATAGCTACTGATCTCTCTTCTCTGTGTGAAGAGCTCACGGGAACATACAGGTGGAAAGATGTCGAAGGCCTATCTAATTTGGTCAGAGCTCTCCATAACATCCTAGCTTCTAGTCCATTGGATGAGCGCATAAACGATGACTACCTCTGAATTTCATCCATGTAGTTTTTAGTCCTTGCCATTTATGTTGAACACAATGGCTATCTTTTTTTACTCATGATTGACTGTATTCTCTGAGACGGTGAAATATGTCACATGTCGTCAAAGTTTTGTAAAGAAAAAGTGGTTATCAGATTGATATCCTTCCACTAGCATTATGAAAAATTTGAATGCGTTCTCGCTGCATACAATCACTTAGTAAGTTCTTTTAAGATTATGTCGAAGTTTCGGCGTTTTAATACACCGAAAGGCCAAAACTTCGACATAATCTTTCTGCGCGTGTACTTGGATTTTTGAAGAATTGCTTTTACTTATTTGAGAAAACTTCCACTGCCAAAAGAAACTATCCGATAGACGAACTTTATTCATCTCTTGCTATTTAACATAGCTAAGAAGGTAGTTAACTATTAGTTACTGAACAGCTGGTTGGTCTTGGCTTCGGATCTTCTTCGATATGTTTTTTGATATGTTCCGCTATTGGTAGATATACATCAGTGGCTGCATGAAGACCCCATACGAAATCGAGATGATTATATTCGGGCAAATGTTTATAGTACTGGAAAAGTAAGATATCAGCAGACCTGTTGTTTTCGACACAGGCAAATTGCTTACCTTAACGAATGGTTCAATGTGAGGCAATAAGTATCCTTTAATGTCGTCAGGATCTGCTAATACATCGTTTCCTCCCGTAAACAGATAAATGGGAGTATCAGAAATATTCTTGAATTCGTAGGGTGGTGGAAGTTTCTGGAAATGATGCACGTGTACTGTAAGATTCGCGAACATTATCTCAAGGAGTTTCGTACCTGCCCATATGCAACTTTATTAAGCGCCTCTCCGTGGTCAAACCTGGCCACACTGCCAGTTTTGACCATTTGCATCCAGTGTAGAATATTCAAGGATGATGTTCCAGCTGGGGTATGAGAAAGATAGACCGGGATTCGACTCTAAAATTCCAGTTTTGGTGCACGCCGTCGTTTAATTTTATACAAATTCGTTGAATTCATTGAATGCATACTGGACCAAGTTTAGGGTAGTCAGTGCAATTTTCGAAATTACTTTTAGGCCCAAGATCTGACGCCAGTTTACTGGGAGTGGGAAGGATCGAGATGAAATGTAAATTTGATATCGAACTCCTCCCATTTCTATGTTATACTCATCTCGACATCAGAACATTATAGAGGGTTCGACCTGTAGGCTTTTGTTAGGAGCGCAGAGTCGTTGTTTCTCTATTGTACTCATACACAGAGGGAACGAAATCTAATTGTCAAGTGGCTGGCAATGAGAAACTAGTATACGATACGTCATGCACTTGTTCGGTATTCGGGAAATATGAAGTTGTTTTTGGGTATAATTAAAAAGTGTGGAAATAACAACTACTCGAACCAGTGATTCAGCCTTCTAAACAACTAACTAATCCACCTCCAGATGAAGTTTTGTTGCCCCATATCAATCTTAATCAGCAAACCTGTGTAAGCGCGAGCTGAGCTCATATCCACTGCGCCACACTGTCTCATGGGAACAACTTTAGAAGTGCTTAAACTGTCTGCTTTGCTTGACCTATAGTTTGAGCTTTAAAAAAAGCAAAACAGGTTTCGAAGGTCTCTATAAGTAGTCTGGCTAAGTCACCTTTGAACATTTGGTGTAAAACTATCGATTAATGCGGAGTACGTGGTATCACCTGTCACCTGTCATCCCGTTGATCAGCGATCTCTCAGTTGGGCGTCAGCAAAATCTCCATTCGTCCCTGTCGCGAGCTAAGTGGTCCAGTAAATCGTCTTCGCTTCAGGGACACGGGGAGTACTACTTTCTTACAGATTGGCGAAATCCCGGTCGTGAAGTGGTTGAAAAGCTCGCAAAGCATCCTCACGTATTAAGTAGGAACCCTCTGGTTGCTCAGAGTTTCACTTCGCTTCTGTCTCGACAGTATCAAAGGACTTCTTGAGATAGATTGACGTAAGGGTAAGGGCATTTTGTATTCTCTGCACTTCAGTGAGCCTTGCAAAGGTGTGGTTGTGATCGATGGTATTGAACAGTCTCCGAAAATGTTGTAGAGCTCACGAAGCATCCTTACATATTGAGTATGAGGTGGAATACCCGCTTCGATAACCATTTCTTCCTCGCACGTCGTGAGCACTTTGCATTTCGACAGGTACCGCGCAAAAATCCTAGCCAGAGCTCTGACAACAGTGGGGGAGACTCTTTATATGTTCTAGTTTGATCCTATTGGGACCGTGTCCCTTACCATTCTACATCGACGTAATGGCATGTCGAATTCTGGAAGGGTGAAGCGAAGGAGCGATATATTCGTTTTGCCTGAAATGGTGGGTGGGCAGGTAGACGTGGCTGTGGAAGAGATCCGAGTAGAAGTCGTAAATGACATTCCCCATTGCCCTTCGAGATGCAGTAACTGTTCCGTCAGGACGACGAAGGAAAGTCATCGTGATCTTGTAATTGGCGGAGCTCCGTCGGGCTTTGCAAATGCTCTTTCCGGCCTCGGCGGCTTCGTCCATAACTGCTGCTCTTCTCCCTTTCAGATCCTCCTTTATCGCTTCACTGCATAGCTCCACAAGTTCGGACGTTTGTTGATGATTGCCTGTAGCTCGCGCGATTCCCCGCTGGCGTATAGCTCGAGAGTCTTCGAAGAGAGTCATCTTTTGAATACTTGTAGACTCTCTGATTCCCTAGCGCTATCATGATGATGTTCACGAGCCGGTTGTATTCCTCATCGATGTTGTCGATAACGGAATCTTTCTGTTCACTAGCAAGGGAAGCGAAGTGATCACAGTCGATGGGGAGTTTACGGCTTCGTTTCCTGCACTTCATAGTTCTCTCTCTACACACTGAGAAGCAGAATCTAGCGTGGAGGAGACGATGGTCCGATCCCGTGTATAAGCTCGGAAGAGCGGTGACTCGGTCCCACAAAACCTTCTATTGAAGATGATGTTGTCTATTCCATTACGGAACACCCCACCAGGTGACTGCCATGTCCATCGCAAACGAGAGGGCTTGTGGACTGCGAGTTTGGATAGTGGATAGTGTTGTTGACATCATAAACTCTTACATCCTTCCACCCTGGTCATTCCACTCAGTTCCGTGAGTCCCGATATGTAGCTCCTCAGCCATCTTTTACAGCCAATTCTGGCGGTAAAAATTCCACCGATGACCTTGAAGAAATTATAGACTTCTTTGTAGAGCCTCTGGACGGAGGCGGTGTTGTGCAAGTGGCTGCTTACATAGTCCGCCAGCCGGACGGCCGGCGTGCCAGCCGAGGCAGTACTAGGGAGGAGGACAGTGACAGACGGTCGGTCAGACCCTTCAAAGGGCTGTAAACAAAGAGAGACAAGATCAAAAACCATTTGTACAAGCCCCTGGTTGTTCCGTTTTTGATCTTTCTCTTCTTTATTTTCAGCCCTTCGACCGACCGTCTGCCTCCCTCCTAGTACTGCCTCGGCTGGCGGCGGACTATGAAAGCAGCCAGTGGCGCACTATATCACATGCATGGTCAGGGCTTCGAATCCCGGATCGATATCCGCCAAGGCCAACCAAGCTGTGCATCCCTCCGGGGTCGGTGAATTGGTACCAGACTCGTCTGGAAGGATAAAAGCACCGGCGTGTAAATCTGCTGGCCACCGCAAGTCATTTAGATTTTAGCAGCCTTTTCCGAGCGATCGTAACAGATGCTTGTGTCCCCGAGGCTCCCTCAGGTTTTGGGAATGAGGCCCATTTATATTACTTTTTTGGCACATGGATACGAGTAGCTTGCCAGGCTCTAACTTGGAGAATGGGTCGGCTCCGGGTGCTAGTCAGCCTATCCAGAGTGGAGAAAGGCCTTTTATTTTGGAGGCAGCCCCTAAACGCCTCCCAAATACTTTCCAGTCACTCGAATGCAGGCTTTCGGCTAATGGTAAGTCGATGGGCAGGATACCAACCGTACCTGCTCTCCACACAAGTATGCATGGGTGATACAGAAGGTACACCGACCACCACAACAGAAATGGGGGTCCATCTCCTAAATCCAACTGCGTCACTGGGAGTACCGGCGACTTTTGATCGGGATTTACTTCCCTATCCCGTAGCCTCGTCGCTAGCCGGCAGGGATTCTTCAGTGAAAGAGCACCCTCAGTGAATTAGATCTGTAGCAGTGACGGAGATATGTAGAGCGCGCGGGTAGTTTAAAAAGAGTTAATTAATGTTATATACATTGGTCTTTTAAGGCGAGGCACCACTTGCGTTGTCGACAGAGGTTCGAGGAGACTCCATCTACACCGTCGAAACCTTCGAAGTCGAAAACACTCACCGTATTCATTCCTTTCGAATCGTAACCAACCATGGCGAATAATATCTGTTTACAGATTTCGCGCTGTATAAAGGTTTCACATGCCAATGTTGTGAAAGTTGTTGTAAAA